ATTATTACTATAAAAATGATATGCAGCACATTAACTCAAACTTAACATTATTTCTTCTTTTAGTTTCCCAGTATGGATCAACAATTCTCATTCTGAACCACTCACTAAACTGTCACACCTACCACTGAACCAAGGGCATCATTCCATGTGGCTTGTTGCAGGAGCCACATGAGGTAGAAGGAATTTTCTACTATTTTTTTAATTCAAATATTTTAGGGTAGGGAAGTTCATTTTTGAGGTCCATCTCTGTTTCCTCCTCACTCCCACTTTGATTTAAACAAACCTTTCTCTCCTCCCACCTTTTATTTTCATCATTCCCTTTCCCATTTCTTCTGTGCAACTCTCCTGTTTATTTAATTATGCCTCTTCCTTGTTGTGGGATTCTGGGATCTCCCAATGAAGACATTCTAAATGTTACTTCTTCCCTGAATACGCCAGGCTGAGAAGGTGGAACTTAGCTCCCTCTATAACCCCATCAAGGCACAAGCAAGGACAGCTCTCCTCCACACCCCAAGTTCTACAGCATCCAACACCCTTTGTACCTCTCTTATTCCTATTTATAATATTCTGCAGAAGGAGCAGCAAACAGATTTTGGTCAGTTTCATTCTAGTGCTTCTGAGCAGCAGCAGTACTGGTGTGAAGCTCCCAGGGGGTATTCTCACCCCAGAATCATTTTTAAAATGTAGACTAATTAAGGAAAAATAGGAACAAAGTCCTGCAACCCTACCCTTAACACAACAGAACCCAATTGTAAACTAGTATAAGCCTGTGAGGTCAGGTACTCCAGTCCTTTACCTTCTCAAAAATTGTATCATTTTGTGAAGTTTTTAAAATCATCATCACCTGTTAATATTTTAAAGATTTGACACCACCAGCATGATACATTCTACAATGTCACACCAAATAGGGATTTCACAACCTATAGTAGATTCAGAACATGTATTTAGGTTCCATGCATTTATTAATATTGTGTCCCTTTTATCCAGCTTCTTTATCACATTCTGCACATACTTCTAATAATAGTTATTTTTTCCGTCATTTACAGATTACCTTCAATGGCAAGCCACCTCCTGCCAACAAAAATACGTAACAGAAGCAAGACCCCACTTAATTCCTTAATAGCCAGAAAGATTTTAAAATACCTAATATGGAGAAAGAACAAGTGCAATGATGGAAGTCCATTACACAGGAGGATGCAGCAATATTACACATGGCCTGTAAAATGCACACACCACTAGAACTGTATTTGCTACTTTCTGGCAGCCACAGAAAAGTCACACTAGTGTTTACATTTTTATAGCCATCTGCAAAGTGAGCAAGTGAAGTAGGTCAAGAGACAGTGGAGGATAGGCCTGCTTCTTTAGCAGATATCAACAACATACATACAAACCTACCCACGCCCAGCAGAGAAAAGTTACGGACACAAGAAAAATAGGATAGAGCAACGATGTGGAATTCACATGTTCACATAATCTGCATAATTTGTAACAATGAAAGGGCAAACATCATCCAGTTTAAGAGGAATGGAAGCAATCCTGAGTCTAAATTGAAGTGGAAATGAGGTTTGGGCTTTGGGAAAACTATACCGCAAAAAAAACCAGCAGGTTCTCAACCCTGAATATTGTTGTTTTAGTCCTGTTTGACCATAAGGAAAATTAGGATAGAGTTTCACTAATAATTTCTTTCCACATATTTTACCACTGATCTAAGCCAGGAACCAGGGCACTATTTTTAAAGCAAGCCTGAAAACTACTGTGAAATGACTGCTTGGCTATTTAATAAAACAACTTTGCAGACTGAAATATCTGTGAGTGCTTCCCCAAGAGCTCCCCCCCGTAACAAAGTCAACAAAGTCAATATTTTGCTCAGGAATCCTGTCTGTATGCACATCAGCTTCTGCCGTTCATGCAATGTTCAAGTCATGTAACATCACGGGACTTACTGTTAATTGATGTTTATTTGGGGTGGTGGGGAGGAATTATTTCATGGGTCAGCCTGGTCTTCTGGGAGATGACAAGGTTAAGCTTTAGTTTTTTAAATACAAATAGGATTTCTGGTGTTCCTATGCCTGGACTCCTATTTAGCAATTTTATTAATAAAGTCAACAAGAGCAGCAGGCATATCAATAGGTTAATGCAAGCCTTGTTGTCCAAGAACAGACCTAAATGGAGGTTGCTGCAGAGTCTACATCCGTGTTAGTCTACAGTGCAAAGTTAGCACTTCCTTAAACTGAGCCCTCCACGCTGGCTGATGCATTTCTTTAGTCAGAGCTAAAAGAATCCCAAGCCCCCTTAATAACGGCCAGGGGCTGGCTCCACACTGGGGGCGTTCCGAGTTCTCGGTGGAGTTCATGTTTCTCTCCCTGCTGCAGCTGCTGGAGAATTCCCCCTAGTCCCCTTCTCCTATTGTGCAACAGTCACGGGCTTGTCCTAGACTCTTAGGCCTTGTTTACATAATATCTCACCGCTAGCCCCACACCAAAAAGGGAGAAGGAGCTTGGGGCCCAGTGCAACTGGCTCCAGACCCAGCATAAGCTCCTTCCCTCCCCTCCATCCTTCCTTCCAAAATACAAGCCAAAGATTACAAATAC